AACTAACTAACTAACTAACTAACTAACTAACTAACTAACTAACTAACTAACTAACTAACTAACTAACTAACGAAACTAAACGAATTAACTAACTAACTAACTAGCTAACTAACTAACTAACTAACCAACTTACTTACTTACTTACTAAACTTTTAATGATCGCATGACACGCTGCTTAACACCTACTACAACCTCGTCCAAATATGGGACGCAATTTTTTGTGTACGTGGTTTTTTTAATTCCCCGCCCTGGCTGTCGTCGACGGCCCTATTATAACCTAACGGTTCATCGGGGTTTCTGGGACTTGTATCCTGGTGATTATCATCCCAATGGTAACACTTTGTGTCACCGGGTGTTTATGGCTCGATGTGCGCTCATAATGGAGTTGAAAGTCACTCACGCTGTCCAGTACCAAGTTCTAAGCTGAGAACCAGGTGTAACAAAGAACATAGTCTACATGTTGGCACCTTTCCGTCTTTCCAGGCGATAGAGTTATATTTTGCTATGGGGAGGCATGTGATTCACTGACGATGGCGAGTATGAGATGGCAAGTATTAGATGACGAGTATGCGATGGCGAGTATGAGATGGCGAGTATTAGATGACGAGTATGCGATGGCGAGTATGAGATGGCGAGTATTAGATGACGAGTATGCGATGGCGAGTATGAGATGGCGAGTATTAGATGACGAGTATGCGATGGCGAGTATTAGATGACGAGTATGCGATGGCGAGTATGAGATGGCGAGTATTAGATGACGAGTATGCGATGGCGAGTATGAGATGGCAAGTATTAGATGACGAGTGTGCGATGGCGAGTATGAGATGGCGAGTATGAGATGACGAGTATGCGATGGCGAGTATTAGATGACGAGTATGCGATGGCGAGTATGAGATGGCGAGTATTAGATGACGAGTATGCGATGGCGAGTATGAGATGACGAGTATTAGATGACGAGTATTAGATAACGAGTATGCGATGGCGAGTATGAGATGACGAGTATTAGATGACGAGTATGCGATGGCGAGTATTAGATGACGAGTATGCGATGGCGAGTATGCGATGGCGAGTATTAGATGACGAGTATGCGATGGCGAGTATTAGATGACGAGTATGCGATGGCGAGTATTAGATGACGAGTATGAGATGGCAAGTATTAGATGACGAGTATGCGATGGCGAGTATGAGATGGAGAGTAGGCACCCTATATAGAGGCATCACAAACAGCAAGGGGAGGGGAGGGGGGGGGAGACCCCAGCGACAAATTTAGCTGGTGACGCAACCGTCTACTGACATTCCTAAGATCTCCTACTATTTGACAGCCATAGGTAGGGGCGCCGACACAAATTAAAAATTAAAAACGCTTCGCATGAAAATGGGGGGGGGGGGGTTGGAATGGGGGGGGGGTGAGTCGTTACGCTAATCTTCTGTGGCTCAAATTACACATTTTCTTTAGTTGCTTCACTTCACTTCGCTTTGTTCGCAAAGAAATTGTAATAAAAATAATAATAATAATAATGAGCACTTCAACAAAGGTTAAGCTCACATTTTTATGGGTAAAAAAGGAAGAGGGGGGGGGGGCGGGTTTCCAAGATAAGTGAGCCATCTGGTTCCGGCGCCCTGGTATTTAGTGCTCTGAATCTAGAAGAAGAAGAAGAAAAAAGAATAGATTGCACAATTTATTGCCTAGAATATTTCGCATACTGCAGTAGCAAAAAGCAAACAAGTGCAATTAATTAATTGTTTTCTGCATTTTACAGAACATGTAAAGTGTCGTTGTGTTTCCGAGTGAAAGTTTTTTAACGGCTTCATGCCTGACACATTGACAATGTGTTGTGAAATGACGAAGTTGGCTAATCCTAATAGTAACTCCTAAGTGACAGTATCTCACAGTGAGTTTTTTTTTTTTTTTGGGGGGGGGGGGGGGGGGCGTGACTTATTTAATATTTAACTACAATATGGTATTTACAATTAAATAGACTGACTCTGTCTTTAAACCGAATTCTTTATTCAGAAAGTTACGTTACCTAACTGAAACAACTGAGCTCCTAACCACTCTAACTTAACATTAACAGTAAACAACTTTACAACAGGATTTTTTCCAGCAGTTTCAGTTTCTCAGAAATGTGGTCTGCCAGTTCTGACTAATTCTCACTACAGGAGATACTGTTCAGTAGTTATATATTTTACAATAATGAGAGTAGGCTTTTTTTTCTGGGACAAAACGTGCAGTAACTCACCACAAAATGTCTATTACAGTGGTGCTGGAAAAAAAGATGATGCCTAAATCCTAAAAAGGTGACGGTACTGCGTCCACACCGGCACCGCCAGAAGGAAAAAAAAAAAAGCCCTGGATAGCAGTGTTTCAGTTTCAGTCTAAAATTTTACAATTCTCACTCTGTGTTAAATAATTTATGTTCTCAAAATAGTCTGAAATGGCATTAATGGCAACAAAATTTCTCAGAAATGGGGAGGGTGAGAGAGGTGGGGGGCTGACTGGATTGCATCTTTAGATAATGTTAAAAAAAAACCAACTGACAGCTGTTCCTCATTTAAGTAAACCTGTCTGCTGCCAACTTTTGGGTGAATTGATTAATTATCTTATTAACGTTGGTCACAGTGAAGAGACAGAGACAAATAATCAAGACTTATCGAAAAGCAAAAGTGTAATTTGCCACACCCATTGTGTCAAACTCACAGCTAAAACTGCCAACTAGGCAGTATAAAATTTCCAGTGAGGAATAATAAACACAGAATTAGTATTTGCGGGTATCCACACGCTGGCTGATGTGGCACACTGTATGCAAAAAGGCAGTGTGAGCACTCATGGGCAAACTAAATGATTTAAAGTGCAGTGAGGTTAAAGTCGAGAGGATCGACTTCATTGCACCGGGTTTTATCCCATGTGGCTTGGTCTCTCCGCAGAACGGCTAGCTGCCTACTGAGAGCATTGCACAGAGCACAAACTCAGTAGCTCCGGAGATGATTCCCAGGGGACTCCGTGAGCAATGCAGCCGTGAAACAAACCCAAAGACAGCAAGTGAAATGGTTTGCCCACTTAAAAAGAATGCCTTGTGACACCACACCATACAAAGCATACATGGAAAGAAAAGAAGGACGTAGAGCACGGGGTAGACCAAGAACAAGATGGAAGGATAACATCAGAGAAACTCCACAACAGCATGATGTGCCTATGGTCGAGGCAGCCAGAAGAGCTAGAAACAGAACCTTAAATCTCCCTCGACACCCACAGCGGTAAAAGAGGAAGTGAAGAAGAAGAAGAAGGAGGACTGGTACATCCACTGCTGCATTTTGGAATATTACATGGTAAAGCCACAGTTTCGGACTGTCTTATCACTCACTGTAAAGGCCAGGATAACACATGGGTTTTATACAAGTTGTAAATATGCTGCCTCTCAAAACAATGCACTAATGCTTTATTCAGTAGGGCCAGTTCCCTTCTGAGTCTGAAACAGATGCAAACATCACAACTGAAGTTAGTTGTGTATCCTTTACAAAAAGTTGGAGACCAGCCACAGCATTGTTTGGCTGTTGCAGTTTTTCTAGACAAATTTTACGTTGAGTATTTTGCCATTGTCTCTGAACTGTCAGCTCTTGGTACCACTGTCGAAATCAATGTAAGACAGTATTGCTGCCAAATCGCTTGCAGTTGAACCCAGCATCCCGGCATTATGAAGCGTGTTTGCAACATGTGTAGATAAAACATCTAGCAGATGCAGAAATTATCTTCTTCTTCTTCTTCTTCTTCACTTCCTTTTTTACCGCTGCGGGTGTCGAGGGAGATATAAGGTTCTGTTTCTAGCTCTTCTGGCTGCCTCGACCATAGACACATTGTGCTGTTGTAGAGTTTCTCTGATGTTATCCTTCCATCTTGTTCTTGGTCTACCCCGTGCTCTACGTCCTTCTTCTCTTTCCATGTATGCTTTGTATGGTATGGTGTCACAAGGCATTCTCTCTAAGTAGGCAAACCATTTCACTTGCTGCCTTTGTATGTAATCCAGAATTGGCTCTGTGCCGACTTGTTCTCTTATGATCTAATTCCTGATCTTATCTCTTATGGTCACTCCAACACCCCTTCTCAGACATCTCATTTCCGTGGTTACTAATTGTCTTTTATGGTTTGTTGTGAGTGACCATGTCTGGCACTGGTAGCACAGAGTTGGTATAAATATGCTTTGAATAAGATGTCTCTTTGTGCTGATTGGGATTGTCTTATGCTGTAAGAGGGGAGCTAGCTGTCCCAATACTTCGTTTGCTTTACTGCATCTAATGTCAATTTCTTTATCCAATTTCCCATCTTCGGTAAATGTAGTTCCCAGTTATTTAAACTCAGATGCCTGTTTAATTATCATCATCATCATCATGTGTCTTATGAGGTGGTGTAGGCGCTCATGTCTAACCCTGGTCTGAATCAATTCTACTGTTGGTATTTCTCTATAATATTGTTTCCGGCCATCGGGCATCATTTCTTTTGGTCTACCTCTTCTACCATTAATCTTTCCAGGCATCACAATGTTTTCGAGTTCCTCTCTTTTCATCACATGACCAAAGAACACTGACTGCCTCTTTTTTTAAAGTTTTTTAATACAGGACATGTTGAGAAAAACTGAGAATAATATAACTAGAAAGTCTTTGCACTGGAACCCACAGGAGCATAGAAATAAAGGCAGACCAAAAACACATGTAGACGGGAGGTCGAGAGTGAAGTTGAAAAGATGGGGAGGACATGGAGTAAGCTTCATACAATAACAAAGGATAAAATGACAGCGTGAGTTGGTTGTGGGTCTTGCTCCATTGGGGAATAGAAGACAATAAGAAAAACAAAAGAGAAGAATATGTAAAGATTAACCATTGAATGTACAGTGAGTTCCCTGGTAGTGAAACAGTTAATTACATGAATCATTAGACTGTCCGCATCTTTAACAGTCTTCAAATTATATTTGATTAACATAGACATTTTCATTTTTAGGAAAAGCATCATGCCGGCAAAACTCAGTGGTGGCCATACAGCTTCAGTGCTTTCTGTCGATGTCCAGTTGCAGACAGGTCAAGTGGTGTCTGGCGGTGAAGGAGGCGAGCTCTGTGTTTGGTCCAAAGATGGCCTGTTGAAAGAAAAAGTGTCCAGGCCCAATACTGACTGTACATCTGTAGTTTTTTCTAGAGAGAACCCAAACTTGATCTACGCAGCGTTTGGGGAGGAGGTGCTGGTCCTAGACCACTCAAGGATACAAGAACCCGTCCATGTGTTTCATAGCAACCAGGATGAAATCAACCAGGTCAAGCTGAATGAGAATGAGCATTTTTTGGCTGCTTGTGATGATGCTGGGGAGGTCAAAGTTTTCGGGCTACAGAATAGAAAAGAGTTCAAAACTCTTAGGCTGAAACACACAAACATTTGTTCCACTGTAGTGTTCCGTCCAGGTTACCCTTGGGAACTCATCAGCGGTGGTTTGGATTGTCGGTTAGTGCACTGGGATTTCTCCAAACCTAAATGTCTAAATCAGTTCAACATGCAGGAGCTTCATGCAACCCCTGGTGACTCCCCATATTTCATTAACCCTCCATTTCTGCACCATCTGGCAGTGTCTCCGAACGGCAGCTCCTTAGCTTGTGCATTAGAGAATGGCCAGATACCCATCCTGAACAGCAGCCAGAAGAACCTGCAGCCAAAGTATGCCTTATTTGGACACTCTCAAGGGGTGTCCCAAGTTCATTTCTTGACAGATGATATTCTGCTGACTGGCGGCAATGATTCAGTTGTCATCCAATGGGATCTGTCAAAGGCTGACCTCTACCAGCCTGGTGCTGTCTACATGAATGGAGATGGCGCAGCTGCAAGTCCAGAAGAGGAAAAGTGCCTGGCTATAACTCAGTTGTGTAATGTTTCGACGTACACACATACAAACAAGATCAACTGGATGTCCTCGTACACCACTGATGGAGACAGATATTTGTATGTGGCAGATCAGACTTCAGATGTCTCACTTATACATTTGTCTTGATTATGCTGTATTTTAAATACACTTTTGTAGTTTTCATAGTTCTTATGTTTAATGTTTTTGTTTCTTAAACCCTACCAGAGCTGAGGCCCTGAACCTAACTGCCCCCATACCTGAGCTCCTGGGCATTACCACGAAAAAACCAACATGATATACAAAAATATTAGTTACCTGCAAACGAGTGACTAGAATAAGATGAAACTTGGAGACATTGTAGAAAATAGGCTGACCTTTTATTTAGTGCCAATTATCCACCTTTATGTGCCAGTTCACTCAGGAAGATCAGCCTTGTTTCACAAAGTGAACACCAGATGTTGCTGAGGTACACACCCCCTTCTACTATCGATCTATTTCTACATTTATAATTTTCAAGATTCTCCTCATCATTTGAGCTCTCACTGACTGTGTCACTTCAACTGTGAACGAATTCTTTATGAAATTATGACGCGGCAGAGTCTGAATAACCCAAAGTATCGATCACCTGTTGGACTGTGAAAAGGCTAGACCTACTTTACTTTCCTGTTGAAGTGCTTGGTTCATCAGCCGCTCATTTCATTGTGAATTTTTGAAATTTGTTCACGTAAAAGAACACAAATTTAATCCAAGCATGTGCAGGCAGACATCTGGAAAGACTATCCACGAAGTCTGATTACGGTTGGCTAGTTAGTTTGTGACGCATCTTTTTCACGTACTACGCAAAGTGTCGAAAATTAGGGACAGCGGTGTCAGGTTAAGAAATTCCAGAAAAATCGGGTCAGTGGCCTGGTAGGGTTAATATATATTTTTTACTTTTGTAGGTTTTTTAATGTAATTATGGAATGTCTGGTTGGTTGGAAGACCTAGAAAATTAAGTGAAAAAAAACCCCGCCTAGTTATCCGAACATGTTTTTATGCTATAAAAAAAAAATAAAAATAATGATGCATAGTTAACCAGTGGCATGTTTTTATTAGCTGACAGAACAGCCTCTACGCCTAAAAACTAATGATGACCCAGATGCAGAAGAAGTGTCGATTGACTGTTTGAACACTATGATATTCTTGTGTGCAATTTGACAATTTCACTAATAAAATTACAATGTTTTGAATGGCAAAATTATGACTAAAATAGGTTCCTTTCAGTAGCTGTGAAGTAGAGGACCCTTTTCCATGCCTTTAGGCATATAGGGCTAGACCTATATTTACAGACTAATCATCACATGATGGCTGTTGGGGTCAGCATCACGCCGGCCGCTCTTACTTCCCAGAACTGCACCCCGTACCCACTCCATGCTGGGTCGACCTGGAAGCCAAGATCATTTTTGACAAAAGTCCGGCTCCACCAGAAAACCAACCCACGACCTTCCGATCCGCAGGCGAGTGTTTAGCCACGACGACTCCCTTTCAGTAGCTATGGATATTGTTAATATTATTTTTTTTTGGGTAGTAAAGCACTATTGCATACTTATGAATGTTTTTTTTAACAGTATATTTAGTCTGATATGGTTATGCCCTAACTAGGGCTTGCATGTATTGCGATTAGGTTGCTGTGTAGACTTTCCTCTGGACTCACTACTACTAGTTCTTCTGTCCTTCAAACAGTCCAACATAACCAGCTTCAGCAAATCCCTAATTATTTTCCTTTTACAACATGTTTGTTACAGGACAGTGGGGCTCACCCCCTTCCTCCCAATGGAGTCCCCTAACCTACCCTGTGATACCCCTTACTACTACTTCTGTGTATGCCCTTAAAAGAGTGGTTGATGTTCTGTTGTTCACAGGCTGTGATATCTGCTCCTTTCAACCAAATTCATCTGATTTTAGCCACTAATAAGTAGTTGCCTTTTACGACTTCTTGTTAAGAGGCAGTGGTGCTCCCCCTGCTTCCTATATGGGAGTCGTGAAACCCATATGGGGGGTGGGGGGCACTGCTGAAATACCATTCCCACAAAGAATGTTTTTAGGCTTACCTTTCCCTCTTCTCCACCTACAGCTGGCTGTACTGTACAAGACCATTTCTCAGCCTTCATATCTGCAAAAAGATATAGTGGTCTCTGCATCATTAGCTAACCTTGGAACCCTATCTATAGACAGACCATGTGATGGAAGGATAAGTTTTCGGCTGTATTCCCCGGCCTTAAAACTTGTGGCCTGAAATATTTTGTAACTGGTACATGTATGTGTGTTTCATTGTGACCTGCTTTTCTGTGAAGATCTTGGCTTAATAAAAAATCATCATGGGAGAAAGCTTTAGTTTATAATTGTCATTAGATTTATATGTGCCATATTAAATGGCTTCCACTACCTACAACTTTAAAAAGAAACCTGGCATCAAGAGCAAAATGTGCAGAGCAAGCTGTGGGGAACCATGAAGGGCTTGCTTCTGACATGCAAGTTCAATAAGGCAACCCACCTGATGGTCTGATTTGAGCATACGAAACCGAATGCAAAGAAAAAAAAAGAAATTTCTACCGGCGCCAGCCAGTGGGCGACCCGGTCACTGATGCTGTGAAGACCTGTCTGGAATCATTACATTATAGCTGAAGGTGGGAACTAAACAAATGTCACTGAATTAGAAGATTATGGTTCCTGTGTCCCAGTTTGGGAGGGGGTGGGCTTCCGCCCCTTAAGAAGTATGTCATGAAACCAAAAGTCACAGATGCCTTATGCATATAATGTGCTCTATAGTTTTGAAATTGTCAAGACTGGAGCAGTCTGTGTTCATTTTTTCCACAAATGACAGTGATGGACATGGCAGCAGTTCTCATCCTGTGGGTCATGACCCCCTTTTGGGGTAGAATGACCGTTTCACAGGGGTCGCCTAAGACCATTGGAAAACACATTCACTAAAGTTGTGAAGTAGCAACTAAAATAATTTGATGGTTGGGGGTTACCACAACATGGCCTGGGACTGCTTACCGTCTCAAAGAGTCAGATGGACAAACTAGAGTGCATTCAGACCGCGGCTATGCGGATCATTCTTGGTTGCACCAGAGACACCCCAGTTGTGTATGTGATACATCCTTGGTTTGCCGACGGTTGCAGGTAGGCACAAGGTGCTGCAGGCGAAGTCATATCTCAGGTTAGCTGCAAACACAGACCACCCTCTGCATGAAGCTCTGGGTGCAGTTGACAGCGGGAGGTCATGGATGGCTGAGGCAGAAGACACAATCAGACAGGTTTGCATCCTTGAGAACATTAGGCGAGGAGAAGAGTTGGTCAAAGTTACACCTGAACAGTCAGACTTATGTAGAGTCATAATCACGCTGAGCCGGGAATGCAGAGACTGGCCAGCAGGTGCCACAGAGATGGAAATTCAGCAATTAATTCAAGATAATGCTCGCTCAGAGGATTTGATCATTTACACAGACAGTTCAGTGTCAAGAGGCAAAAGAAGTGCTTGGGGCTTCTTAGCAAAAGTTAATGGTCGATATTTGGTGCAGGAGAGCCTAGCATATTGTACCACAACATCCAGCTTAAGAATGGAGGTGGAGGAGGTCACTGTAGTTTTCCGTGGGCTAGAGAACACGACACACACATCGTGATTGCAACTGATTCAGAAAGCATGCTGAGGAAGATCAGAACAGGTATGCTTCATGTAGAGTGGCATGCTTCGTTGCAGAGGACACAGGTGAGGAGTATTGTCTTGATTTTTTCACTGTGTCACTCCGGTGTGTTGGGAAATGAACACGTGGACAGACTGGCTGGCTCTGCACAACTTGGTGGAATACTGATACATGATAAGGCAGACATGGTTTGTGCCTTGTGGGAGAGCGTGTACAGTTCAGAGGAGCAGATGGATCACCACAGTCTTGTGAGATTGATGCAGCGGGGAGTGACGAGAGGTTCTAGCAGATGCTCGAGGCTCAGAGGAAAGGCAAGACAGACGTTTAATCAGAATGCTACTGGCACCATTAGTATCGGAACTCTTCGCTGCCTGCTGAAGATGGGGATGGAGCGCTTATGGGAATGCCCCGAGTGCTGTGAAGTTGGTTCTTAAATCAAATCAACAACATGAGGAACTGAATTAAAGGGTTGCAGCATTAGGAAGGTTGAGGATCACTTAAACTATGGAGTGACCTGTTTGCTATGAAGCTGGAACAGCGATCACATGATTGCAGAAGGAGAAAAAGAAAAGATTATGGCCCTGGATAGAAGACATTGAAAGTTTTTGTTTTTTTGCATTACTTTTGTCAGGTCGACCAGCTCTCTGTGGGGGAGAGACCCCACATATATTTTAAAGTAGGTTCTCTCACCTTTCTCCACACATTTACCTTTGTCAGGGGACCAGCTCCTTGTGGAGAGGGAACCACACATATGGTTATAAAGTGGGTCCTCTCACCTTCTCCACACATTTACCTTTGTCAGGGGACCAGCTCCCTGTGGAGAGAGAACCACACATATGGTTATAAAGTGGGTCCTCTCACCTTTCTCCACACATTTACCTTTGTCAGGGGACCAGCTCCCTGTGGAGAGAGAACCACACATATGGTTATAAAGCGGGTCCTGTCACCTTTCTCCACACATTTACCTTTGTCAGGGGACCAGCTCCCTGTGGAAAGAGAACCACACATATGGTTATAAAGTGGGTCCTCTCACATGGAAAAACAGGTTCTTGAATTTACTCTCACCTTAGGTCTATACCTCATATCATGGAAAAACAGGTTCTTGAGTTAAATTTTACTATCGGTCCACTACTCCTTACAGAATTTTCAAAACAGGTCTTTTAATTAACTTGTGCTAAAGGTCCAATACACCTCATAGCATGGACAAATTAAGTCTTTTTCCCTTACTTCACTTAACGTTTGAAGAATTAGGTATAATATAAGCATTGAGTGTATACAAGTCAGTCACATAATCAAAACATTCCTGAATCTCTACTCTTATTTGGTGGTTACAGATCGGCTGCATTTAATAGATCTTTCACTATGTCACATATCACTCCTGTCACGTGCCTGATGTAAGGATTTCTCCTTCAGAACCAGCAGCACTCAGAAATAATTATGTTGAGTCATCTGGCTCGTATT